CTGCCTGGCAAGTACAAGGTTGTGAGTTCGGTTCCCTGTACCAGAGAAAAACCAAAAAACCAAAAAAAAAAAAAAAAAAGTCTTGAGTTTATTCTTCTTTATGGCTGTGCCATACTCCATTATATAAATGAACATATCTTTTTTATTCATTCCTCAGCTGATGGGCATTTGAGTTGTTTCTAAAATTAGCTATTACAAATTATGCTGGTAGAAACCTAGGTGCACATGTATTTTTTTTTTTTTTTGGTTTTTTTTTTGGTTTTTCTGCAGTACCGGGAACCGAACTCATGACCTTGCGCTTGCCAGGCAGGCGCTTTTGCCGCTGAGCTAAATCCCCAGCCCCTAAGCTAAATCCCCAGCCCCTTGAGCTAAATCCCCAGCCCCTCACATGTATTGATGTAATATGATGTTTTTAGTTCTTCTGGAAAGATACCCACAAGGGGAATAGCTAGGTTGAATCCTAGCTTTTCCTAGGATTCCTAGGATTTTCCTAGGATACTGATTTCCGCAATGGTTGCACCAGTTTTCTCTCCCACTAGCAGTGGAGAAGTGTTCCTTTTTTCCCACAGCTCCATCAGCATTTGTCATTTGTTGATTTCTTGATGATAGCCATTCTTCCTGGAATGAGATAGTATCTCAATGTTGTTTTAATTTGCATCTCTTGAATGACCAGTGATGTTGGACATTTTTTCATATTTTTTGCCATTTGTAATCCATCTGAGAAGTGTGAATTCATCTTAGATGATATTTATTACAGTACCCTGAAAAAGGAGATCAAAGAAGATATTAGAAAATGGAAAGATATCCCCCACTCATGGATAGGAAGAACCAACATAGTGAAAATGGCCGTTTCCAAAACTGTTATACAGATTTAATACAATCCCAGTCAAAATTCCATTAGCATACCTCGCAAAGCTAGCTGAAAGATTCCTAAATTTCCTTTGGAACCAGAAGAGACACAGAATAGCAAAAAACATTCCTGGACAACAAAGGCAAATCAAGGGATATAGCAATCCAGGACCCGAAATTATACTACAAAACTACTGTGATAAAATTAACAGTACTAGCAGAAAAACAGACCTGAGGATCAGTGGAACACAATAGAAGATGCAGAAACAACTCCAAACATACTCAGCCACCTTATCTTTGACAAGGGAGCTTAACATGCCAACTGGAAGAAAGATAACCTTTTTCATATATGGTGCTGGAAAAACTGGCTTCTGATATGCTGAAGACTAAAACTAGACCCATGTCTATCACCATGAACTAAACTAAAGTCAAAATGGATCAAAGATCTAAATATTAAACTACAAACACTAAATATGCTGGAAGATAAAATAGCTAGAAATTTTGAAGACATAGATGTAAGCAGAGAGTTCATGAACAAAACCCAGGCCACATCGGAAATACTGCAAAGAATCAACAAATGGGATTTCAGTTTATTAAAAAGCTTTTGCACAACAAAAGAAATCACCAACAGCGTGAAAAAACAACCCATAGAGTGTGAAAAAATTATAGCCATTGCCCCTCAAGGAATTTATAGCTAACATATAAAGAATTGAAAAGAAATCAAATCCCCAAATTCAACAATTCAATCCAAAACTGGGCTTCTAAGATGAAAATACAGTTCTCAGGTAAAGAAATATAAATGGCAAATAAATATATGAAAACTTGAACTTTAAAATGTTGTTTTGACACTTACATCTGAAAACTCGTGAGAATACACATTTCAAACTCTGGTGTCCTCCTCATCTAATATTATGCCAACAATTTATTCCTTTATATCTCTTCCCTCATTATTGATGGCAATGTATATCTCCATATTATCTTCCTTTTTAAGCACCTTATTGCTAGTTGCAGAAGGTCACTTAATCTTAGGTGTACAATCATTTGCATTCTGAATTGCGAGTCCTTCATTAGTTCTGTAACCGCTGCATTTAATAGGACGTTGGGGAAGAGGATAGCACGGGCAGAAGGAAATTGGAATTTGAATCATTTATTATGATGATCCATTTGTGACCCACATAGTTAGTGAGGAAAAGATGCTGCAGTGACAGTTTTGCAGTGTGAAATCAACATAAGACTTGAACTTCTTCATTAGTTTCCTGAAAAGGGCCTCAGTCATCACCTTCAGCTCATACTCACTGAGCTTGTCCAATGTACCAGGCACTGTGTAGCGGGGAGAGGGACCGTGAGCAGCTTCCAAAAGGCTGAAAGGACACTGTCACCATGACTGAGGTTCTCTGAGGAGGAGCTTGCAAGTGAATTTCAGAGCCATGCTCATCAATTTTAAATAATTCATTGCTACAAACATTATTGAATTCGGTGTTATTATCATCATATGTGTTTTTCCGACTGAAAACTGAGTCCCAAGCCTTACATGAGCTACATCCCTAGCCCTTATTTTATTTTTTATTTGGAGATAGGGTCTCCCTAAGTTGCTTGGTTTCCCAGCCTACCCTCCAATTCACAGTCCTCCTGCCTCAGCTTCCCAGTGTGATGGAATTACAGGGATGCTCTGCCACACCCAGCTTTATAACCTAAGTTTTTAAAAAGACCTCTAGCACCTAGCCATAAACCAATGGCAGTATATTTTTAAATCCAATCACCGATATTTGGTCTATGTGATCCTGCGACAGCTCATGGCCAATGTATTTGCTAAAATTTGAGTGAAGAAAGCATTTGGTCAGTTAAAAGTCAACAAAGTAGACTTGGTGAGTAGTGTGGTCTGACATCTAATCTGGCTTTTTAAATGTTGCAAATGCTGTCAGGATGTCCAGTCCCACAAAAGGTCTTCAGTCAGATATGCAGGGCTAACTGGCTCCGAGCTCCTCCCAAGGCCATTGGATAGTGTAATTGCTGAAGCCTGGCTCTGCGGCTCTGCCAGTCCAGCTGGGGACCTGTGATAAACGGTCTGCAGTAAATGACCTCGTCACCTGCCATGCCATTCTGCCCAACCATGACACAGCATGAGGACGAGGGGCCCTGGGACACCTTTAATACCAGTGTCCCCTGAAAGCCAGACTCCTGCAGTTCTTCAAATCAGGCCTAGTGACATCATGAAAGTCCCTTATTATTTTAAGAAATTTATACAGATATTAAAGTTTTAAACAGGAAGCAATACAGGCAAGGATCAACATTTGAGATTTTAAATGTTAAGGGTTTTGGAATGTGAAAATAAGATAATTATCCACAGCTCCTAATATTGAAATTCTAAAAATGAATAAATTCTTCAATTTAGTGACTTCAAAATGATATCAAGTACCTGCATGAAGTGGAACAGTCCTAATTACATGTTGCTTATTATCTGGATTTAATATATCCAGCGAGTGTTTTACTTGTCATTTGCAAAGATGAAATTTTTCTGTGTTAATACCATCTTCACTACTACTGTCTGATTAAAATTATTACTTATCCATATATTTCCATCCTCTTTATAAAAAAATGTTTAAAGGTTTTACAGTCATTAGTTCAATGGTAGTGCTGTGTCTAATAACCTCCTATTGTTTTACCATAGAATGCAATGCAAAGCACATTTATGGCAATGAAAATACAGTTAACAATAGGAAATATCTTCCTAACTTCTAAACATATTGTAATGTTCTTTTCAGCCATGATCCGAGTACATTTAATTACTGACTACTGTTAGACTACAGACATAATTAAAATTTAAATTATGTGTAGTGGCAATCCCTGGTCAAGTTCACTTTTATATACATTTAATAGTGACAATATGCCCTTGTTCATATTTTCAGGAATTTTGATAATATACTGTAGTAAATGTCATAATAGTATTATCATATTAATTATCCAGTTCTACATTGACATCATCTTAACTATAGTGTGCAAAATGTTAAATATTCTGTTTATTATCCAAATGTATGTCAACAAAAAAGTGAATATAATATATGAAATGTTAAAGAAGTTAAGAAAATTAGGTATAGTTTTTATTCTATCATAAGGCTACCTATTTGAATTTTCAAAGCTGAAATTAAATTTGATTAAATTGTATTAAATTATTAAGGAATTCAAATACATATACTGTATATAACTATATATTTAATGTACATACACATTTTAGATAAAATTAACTCCATTTTTAATTTTAAGCACTAACCATGTTTTGTATTAGAGTACATATTATTTGAGTGTGTTACTTTTCATCTTAGTATTTTAAATTTTTAACCATGAAAGTATGATAGGTTTCCATGGCACAAATTTATAGAATGATAAAAGAAAGTTAGATGGAAGTACAGAAACTTTTAAGGCAGAGTTGTAAATTTTGAACTAAAATATTACAAAAACCTATTTTAATACCTTGACTTGCTGAATGTACCGTCTTATACAATAATGCCACAGTTACAACTCTGCTTATAAAAATAATTTCTCCACCTATTTTCCATAATTTATGTTATATCTCAGGCACTTAATATTTTAGTATGTTGACAGATTTGTGTATAGCCACTTTTGTAAAAGCACAACTTCCCTGGCTCTATATTTTAACTTAAAAAGCTATATAGTGAAAATGTTATGAGTGGAAATATTATTTTGACTCAAAATCCAGATGCACACTTGTAAAGAAATATTGGATCAACAAATATTCATAAGGTCTTACGGTTTATGATTTATGAGTGCTTGTTGTCTCTGAGATGCGCCTTTTAAAATATATTATTTTTGTAATTGAAAAGCAATAGGCCTTTTAAAAGCATGATGCTCAGGCTGACGTGAGTGACTAACACAAAGTTAACAGCACAGAAAGCGGAATCATGGCACATTAGGGACGGGACAGTTCTGGTGCCTCTTTGCAAACAAAGGAAGAAAGGATACTATGGGGAGCAATAATTATTTCCTTACTGTAATGATTAATACTAGATCTGTGGACTGCACGAGGCTTACATGGAACAAATGGTTCTAATGAAAATGATTTTAGAAACATTTTATATCACAGTTTGCCTGGGGTATTTCTAATCTGTTTGCATTTTTTTCTAATTTGTTCCCAGAATGTTCAGGCCCATTGGGAATTGAAGGAGGAATCATATCAAATCAGCAAATCACAGCATCCTCTACCCACCGAGCTCTGTTTGGTCTCCAGAAGTGGTACCCCTACTATGCACGTCTTAATAAGAAGGGTCTTATCAATGCCTGGACAGCCGCAGAGAACGACAGATGGCCCTGGATTCAGGTACTAGTGCGAGGACACACAATTTTTGCCCAATCACCCAAAGCCAAGAAAGAAGTCACTATGGCCCTTTGTCATGGTGCTAGAATGGGTAATTTAGTTAAAGGTTCAATTTGGCTACAAACTAAAAATGTGAAGAACATACACACTCCATTGGCAAGTGTTTTGGAAGCAATAAAATGATAAAATTCTAGAGTCGTATAAACAGGCTTAGGCTATATCAAAGAAAGTCTGTCTCATACACATGTTCACTCCCAACATGTTAATTTAGACAGCAACTTACTGTACTATAAGAAAAAAAATGACAACTATTCCTTCTCTGTCTCTAAAATGTGGCTTTGCATGTTGAAAATTTTAAATGTAGAATGGATCTGACAATGCCACAAATGTTATCAGCATGTTCTTTCAGTAAGGTGTTTCAATTCATAGTGTCAAGTGCAGTACTCTCATTAGCCAGCTACTTTTTAAAACAGAATACAACATCCTGAGACAGTAAGTGTTTCCCCAGGGATTACACACAGAGTAGAAATGTGAAAATCGGATATTCTGGTTTTGTCAAAAATGGTGTTTCTGAGTACTTAGATGAAGTACAGCCATAAACTAGAAGCTGTAGAACAGAAAGAAGATCCTAGGTGGTTTCGGAGGAAGATTTTACCTCTGTTGGGGACCAAACATCTGACCAGGCACATGGGTGTACCCTAAAGGGAAGATAAATGTATATACTCTTCTAATGAGGAAGAAGAAATTAACCTGAGATAGTCACTCTTTTAAGACGACTTCTGAGGGCGGCCTTGGAAGATAGCTTGCAAGAGCTACTAAATGCCAAAGGAACAATGTGCTCAGAGGTGTAGCATCAGAATACAGGGAGACATTGAAATATGGGGAAACATCCAAATACTGGGAGAATCCTGTAAAAAAATCATAACAAGTGAAGGTTGCTGCAGGGATGTGTTCATTTGCTGTGCCATAGGATTGCACCAAAATATTTTGGTCTTTTTCCATTGCAGTGGGTGCTGTTACACAGAACTTTGCTTAGTTTAGGTGACTGATCTGTTCTCTCGGTTTACTATGTATTTGAGTCAGAGAAACATGGAAATGACTGATGTATTCTCTTAACATCGATAATACACACATCTATTATTAAATGTGATGTAGAAACATTGATTTACTGGTGTTTAAAAGAAAGGAAAATTGATTTGTGGTGAAGACTTTCTTACTTTAGGGACGGGTGAAATCTTTACTTCCTTTGCAGAAGAAATCTTATATATCTCACAGAGATTTATTTCATCTAAGCAACAATACATGGTGGACCAACATTCCCGGTTTGTTTTATGAATTTATGTTCAAATGCATTTATGGAAATTGCTTCTTAAACTACACTTGATTTCTTCATTTACAGCCATAGGTACAAAAAGAATTTCAGAAAATAGAATAACACATCTGTACAGTATTGATTAGAGATAAATGAAGGCCCAATTAATATTAAAGTAGATACAAAATAAAAGAAACTCTGTATATAATATGCATTCCAGAGATATTTCTAGCCATTGTAGTAGACTACTGTATTCTGAAATGCATTTGTGGAATTGCAGTCAGGGTAAAACTTTAAAAGTTAATATTTAATTTTTTTTTTGGCCTTTGTTTGCCCAAGTTTATTGCCTACTTTACACAATATGTCATTTTGCCTTTCAAAGTATGGGCTTTAAATTCTCTTCCTCCCAGACATAATGGGAAGAAATAAGTTCAATGGAGCAGGACAGTGACCATCTCAGAGACATTTAGATTAAATATAACTTTGTCTGTCATCTTAAGCAGAATAGTTAAAATCTTACTTTTATGGCCAGTGGTTTGACGATGATGATGATGATAATGATGGCAATGATAATTTGCTTTCTTCTGAAGATGATAATGAACTTTTATAGAAAAACAGCAGAAGTAAATATAAAAAATTTTATATTAGAGGAATGAATGAAAAAATGAAAAATGCATCACTGTACTCAATAAGTACTCAGTGAGTATCCTAAAGGAATGTATGTTTTGTATTCTTTAATACTATCTTATTTTCTTTGTTATTTCTTGAAAAGGAAATTTTATAAATTGCTTACAGAAAAAAATCATATTTAAGAGACTCTGAGAAGATTAATCCCCTACCAAATTTTCTGTGTTTCAGCGTTCATTTATTTTAATTTTTATTACTACATATTTGCATGACAATGTTTACATTTTGTGGGGGGTCAGTGAATGGACATAGCACAGCTTCATCCCTTTCCCACCTTTTTCCCTTCCCTCCCCCCATGTCTTGATCTCCTTTACCTTTGTGAAAGACCTGTCCCCCTACTTCTGATTATGTATCTTTTATTTTGCTCTCTGTTTATAATTTGGGTTTCTCACATAAAAGAAACCAAGCCTAATCTTTTATTTGTATTCAGTCTTTCAAATGAAACATTTGAGTACTCTGCTTAAACCACATATAATGAGCATAGCATTCTCCTAATCTTTCAGGTGTATAACACACATACACTAATTAGTATTCAGCCTATTCTTCTTCCTTGTCTTGATAAAATGAAAATTGAAAATGCCATTTTAAATTTACTTGCTCAGCATGCAATAATTGATAGTAGCACTGTGCTTATAATTGGTTCTGGATTTAAAGGGTTAGTACAGAAAATGCAGTTAAACAAGTTTTTTTCCTTTTCAAGATATTTCTGACCTTTATTTCTTTACTTAGGTTTTTTCAACTATTCAATAACACAGTGTTAAGCATTTCCTTAGCGTCTTAGAAATGCATTTCTATTAATTACTGCTTCATGTGTTAGAAATAGCAATGTCATAAATTTGAAAGGCTGTCTTCCATTATCTCATCTAAAAATATAGAAAGGGTATTTAAAATATTCAGGTGAGTTTCTAACTGAGTAGATGTATAGGTCTGTTTTCCTGTTGCTGTAGAAAATACCCCACACTGCAATTTTAGGAGAGGCTCAGGGTTCCAAGGGCTCAGTCCATGATCAGCTGGCTGAGGAGCAGGAATATCATAGCAGAACGGTATGGCAGAGTGCTTCCTGCCACCAGGAACTGGAGCATGGGGGATTAGTGCCAGTGGGAGATGCACCTTCCAAACACATGACCACAGTGACCCACCTCTTCCTTCCAGTGCATTTAACTTGGACATCTGTGGATTTGTCCATAGTGAGTACAGTGTCCCATGAACTAATCACCTCCTCAGTAGCCTCTCAGTCCATGCAAGTTGACAATTAAGATTAATTCACACAGAAGGATGAGCCAAGATGACTATTTCTCACTTATGTATAAAGATATTTATTTTCATTTTTTCTCCCCGTGTATACTTTCTTTTTTATAACAGCATATAGTAAACCTTGCACTTGTTAAATTTCTAAAATGACTTTATGTTACAGTTTAGGTCTCAAAGTTCCCTGGAAGTCTTAGTATTTCGAAGGTGGTTGGATCATGAGAGTGCTCTGCTGATTGGTGGAGTCGTCCATTGGTGATTTCACAGCTGAATGTGTTGCTGAAAGGGGGTCTTGTTGGAGGTGGGCTGGGGGAGGGTGGCCTGGAAGGATGTGTTTGTGCTGCTGGCTTTTCCCTTCTCTTATTTCCTGGCTGGCAGGAGGTGAGCTGCTGTCCTCCAACAGTCTCCTCCCTTCCACCATGATGCTTTTGTCTTCGGACAAGAAAACTTTGGGTGGAGCCACTGAAACTGTAACCAAGTAGAGCTCTTCTCCTTTAAGTTATGGGCATCAGATATTGTGTCCAGCAACACAAAAGCTGACTAATACATTTTGCTTGCTTGTAACTTCAATTTCTAGCTATTCATTTACTGTATTTACCCATTTTGCAAACGTTTGCTGAAAGAATTTTACTCTGCACTGTACTACTAGCCACTGTGAGTCACACAAAACAGCAGCATGTCCTTTTGAGATACTCTGAATCTAGAAAATAGAAAAGATAATGCCCAAGATATGTTTGATCTTATTTTCCATGATCTGCTAACTGTTCCATGTGAATCACAATACTTTTATATCCAAAGGGCCTGTTTTAACAGGACTTTTATGAAACCTAAACTGCATTAGCATTATATAGAATACAAACAGAAATTCACACTATACTATTATATAGCTACATTATTGCATGTTGATCTCATATAATACTAGCAGCAATTTTTATATGGAAGTTAATTTACTACTAGTTTAGTTAGAAGTAGCATTTAACCACTGAGAAAAATGAGATTTGATCTCTCTTTTGAGTAATTAATGACACTTTTAGAAAATGTAGTTATGATTTTAATGTGTTCTATTTCTTCTATATACCATACAGTTTGCAAGGGGAAGAGAAAGCTCGTTTTTTTGGTTTGGTTTGGTTTGGTTTGGGAACAAGAAACAAAACCAAGAACCCCCAACTAACAGGCAGGTGCTTGGAGATACCTATTTTTTAAATGTTAAGGTGTCAAGGAATCATGGGTAACTTGGTAAATACAGAAATTCCTTGATTTCTCTCCAGGTCATCTACAGAATGTTCTGTAAAAGCTTGTCTCCTCAGCTTGGGGAGTTAAGATTTGTGCAGCCTGAATTATAGTAACAAGATAAAGTAAAAACACTTTCACCTGATGACTTTGGCAGTGTTGATGGAACTCCAAATAGTGTTGATTGCATGGGGTAGAGAGAGTTGAAAGAAAGGTGAAATAAAATTTTAAAAAGGACAGTGGAAAATGGAAAGTTTCTAAGGTAGGGGGAGACAGATATAAGCTGTGTATCTTGCTTTCTTTTTTTTTTTTTGGTACCAGGAATCGAACTCACAACCTTGCGCTTGCCAGGCAGGCGCTGTGCTGCTGAGCTAAATCCCCAGCCCCTAAGCTGTGTATCTTAAGCAGAATGACATGCAACTTTAGTCACAATTCTTAAGTATTATGCATTAATTATGAAACATCATATTCCTAAATGACTCTCACAGTCTTCCTTTTTATGATATTTCATTTTAATTTTATTTTA